CTATTTAATTGCAGTATAATTAATTTTATTTTAACAGCCAAGCAGTGCTTGTAGATCGTACTTTATATTTATCTGGGGTTCTTGGTATTGATGTTAAAACCGCAAAACTTGTAGAAGGAGGTGCTGCTGCAGAAGCTCGTCGAGCTCTTGTAAATATGGGAAATATCTTGAAAGAAGCTGGATCTGATTATGATAGAGGTAGCATTTACTTGCGAAATATATAAAGAATTCGTTTTAGTTTTTTGAGTAAAAAGAAAAATTTATACAGGGTATTCCATGTAAAAGTGTCGCCACAAAATTTCAGGATTTTCCTTAAACTTTACAAAAAATTGTTTTACATAAAAGGTGAACTATAATTAAGTATATATAACTTTCATATACCATAGTTTTTTTATCTACATTTTTTTTTGGAGATACGAATGTTACTTTTTGTTTTTTAAATGAAACTATAGCACTTTTTAAATATTTTTCATTACAATAAATCTTAACAAATCCAACAATTATACATGCTACAAAACTAACACAAATAACATGAAAAGTCAACAGAGTTGTGCAACGTTGCGGTATATCAACACGTTCCCTTTAGGACATTTATTGTAATCGAATGCTTAAAAGCATCAGGACGTTGCACAACTTCTGTTGACTTATTATTATTTGTGTTATTTTTGTAACATATGCATAGTTGTTTTTGTTATGTTATAGTTTCATTTAAAATCTTCGAAAAAAATGTAGAAATAGTAATTTTGGTTTACAAAAGTTATGTACACTTAAATATAGTTTAATTTTTATTTAAAACAATTTTTTATAAAGTTCAAGAAAAGTCCTGAAATTTCGTGGCGACACTTACGTATGTAGACACTCTGTGTGTATGTGTGTTCGATTCATATATGTATATATTCTATAATATGATGAATATGACTGAAATAGGTTACATATATTAAATAATATTTATTCTTTATATTTGTTTACAGTTATTAAAACAACCATTTTTTTACAAAATATGAATGATTTTGGTGGTGTAAATGAAGTCTATAAAAGTTGTAAGATTTAATTATATTAAATTTAAAAAAAATTATATACCATAAATACATACATGCATATACACTTCTTTTATTTAGTTTTTAAGGAACCATATCCAGCCCGATCTACATTCGAAGTTGGAAAGTTGCCAATGGTATGAAATAGTTTGCTTTTTGTATTACATCATATTACATGTTTAACAATTAACATAAGTAATAAAACATTATTGTAGGGAGCACAAATTGAAATTGAAGCTATTGCTGTTACTGGGGAAGTGGAAACAATTTAAATACTAGTTAAATTCGTTTTATAAATTTCTTGTGTGTACTTATGAAATAAATTTGTTATGTACAATATAATTTATCTACATGTTTGAGTAAACATGTATTCTTTTAAAAAAAACTAATGCAAGTAATATAAAATATAAAAATGTGGGTAAAACCATATTTTTGCACTATGGAAGAAAAAAATAAGATGGACATATAATCCAATGTCAATTTTATGCTACACCACAGACGAGGTACAAGATAGACCTAACATCTTATGGGACTTTGTGTTCACAGCACGAGGGCTGAGAGTGCCCTTACCATTTTCGTGTGGCCTCCAACGTAACCAATTCAGCATAGAATAAAATTACATTAGTAGTGATTGAAATTATAACTATATATGTATAAATATGAAATTACAAATAAAGCATAGGACAGGATATCTTATAATCGTACACGAAGTATAGAATTCTATATTTCTAAATGTGTAATATACAATATTATGTATCTATAATGTATACAATAAATAACCAAGTAAATACTATGAAAGAAACTATGTAAATACATTAGGTTGATCGGAAAGTTTTATAGTTTTATTTTCAAAGAAAGTAAACAAAGGTTTTTTCGGTGAAAGTTTTATCAATTAATCTGTGGTATAATATTTATTGCTAGTTATAATTATCTCCTAAGTACCCAGTAATTTATTTATCCTCTTTATGTGAAATTTTTCATTCTTGCGATTAAAATATTCTGGCAATATGTTCGCAAGTTTATTGGACCGTGTTTTTATAACAATTAGAATGGACATATGTACATATATTTGAGCTTTCTGTCATTTATTGAAATTTTTGAACAGAATTACAAATGTGTACCAGAAAACTGATGACAAAACTTTTAGATCAACCTAATATTTGTTCATCCTTACAAGGTTATGTACATATGCACTACTATATTAATACGCTTGTCAAGATGTATTAATACTAGACCGATTTATATCGTGTTTAGACCCATTTTCATCGGGAAAATCTTATAAAAGTTATAAAAAGGGAAATTTTCGTTATTGAATGATTCATTGCAATGTGCACATTTTCCCTGCAAGTACCACGTCTCACTTACTTTCGCAACATCTATTCATTTTCCTTATCGATGTGTTATGTTTGGATGGTGAGCTAGAGGCACGGGTGGTGGGGATGAGTCGTTCAAATTTAATATGGATGTTTAATGTGTAAATGAATCCCGTAAAAAAAATTAATATGCTGTAGACAAAAGTTCAAGAAGTATAATGGTATTATGTCAGATTTTTAAATACAATGTTTTACCTAAAGTACTACAAGTGGCTTCTTCGGACATTTGAAGTTATTTAAGTTTATATATAAGTTAACATGATTCGAACAAATTCGTGTCAGAATTCATGTTGGTCGAAAAAAACTTAGCAATCCATCCGTAATAGTTTACAAAGATTCGAACGTATAGGCCTTATGGCTGATCCGCATGACTCATGGAGAGTGCACGTTATAATTTATAAAATTCATTATTGCATGAGTTCATTAGATCATTTTAGACTTAAATATGAAAGTTTGTAATGGTATTTTAATAAATTTTAAAGGCACATTTCTATAACTTTGATTTCCGTTATACAGGTTCGTCACAAATGGACAAAATGAATGTAAGAAAACTTTCTAGTTTAAATTTGTATAGTCTATGATACATCTATCCAATATATCCGGTCAGTATAATCTCTTTTATTCTTTTGGAATGAGATTTGGCAACGAATGTGTCGTTTCCACGTTTGCATTGAAATCGTATTTCATCTGCACACATTTCTAGCATTTGTATATAGTAGTTATCAAAATGCCTCCTAAATTTGATCCTAATGAAATTAAGAAAGGTATATTTTCAATTTAAAATTTGTATATATATACTAAAAATATAAAATTTGGTCTTAATGTACATATTTGCCTAAATAGTTTATTTGCGATGCGTTGGAGGTGAAGTGGGAGCAACTTCATCTTTAGCTCCAAAAATTGGTCCTCTTGGTTTGGTAAGTTTAAATTTAATAAATGAACATTATTTGAAAATAATAATGATTTCTAATTTAAAACACAAAAACAAGTTTTTATATGTTTATAATATTTCTTTTCATTTATTAATATATAATACTTTCTGAATATATTGAAATAATGTTTTATTATATTTATAGTCTCCAAAAAAAGTTGGTGATGATATTGCTAAAGCTACCAGCGATTGGAAAGGTTTAAAGATTACGGTACAGCTAACAATTCAGAACAGACAAGCTACAATTACAGTAGTTCCATCTGCTGCTTCTTTAATTATTAAAGCATTGAAAGAACCTCCAAGGGATCGTAAAAGGCAAAAAAATATTAAACATAATGGAAATTTATCATTTGATGACATTGTTTCCATTGCACGATCAATGAGGCCAAGATCTATGTCAAAGTATCTTAGTGGTACTGTTAAAGAAATATTAGGAACTTGTCAATCAGTTGGATGTACAGTTGAATATAGACCACCACGTGATCTCATTGATGACATCAATGGTGGAAGACTTCAAGTTACTGATGAGTAATGTGGTAAGTTCAGAGCTCAATGCAAACTATTCATCAGAATATCTTATATTACAGCATATTTCAATTTACAATAAATTATTAAAGTAATTAAAACTAAATTGATATTGTGGAGAAAAGTATTTGCTTTGAGCTCTTGGTAGGGGTTAGCATCCCATCCACCTGATTAACTTATAGCACTCTAAATAGCACTGCTATATGTTATCAGGAAATTTATGCTACTGAGGAGAAAACCTCAATAATAAATCATTATTTTGTATGAGCATAAAATATTATCTCGATTTTAAGAAATTCGTATTTTTATTGTTTCAGATCTGTAATAAGGCATAAAAAATAAAACCTTTTTAAAATTAAAGTATTGTATTTTTACATATATTCCCCTCTTCC